GTGAAAAATCGACCCTTTCCGGAGGTCAACTATGATATGCAACTCTCATTATGGATATAGTTTAGCAGCGCTGCATGTATATAGATGACAATCATCTAAGAACTGTATAAATATTGGCCGATTGTGCAACTTGGTTTGCAATGTAGCTGGGATAGGTTAATATTCAAATGGAGTTGTTTGATAGGCTATATATAGCTCGTGGCCATACTTTGCTTAGTGTTCGACATGACACCCAAAAGTCGTGACAACTAGAAGTAGCATGATATTGACGGAAGTGGAGCTGATATAGCCGACTTAGTGATATATAAGTACGGTACAATTGGTGGTGTTTATAACTGTATTCACGCTCATTAACGAGATCGATATAGGTTACTGTAGGATTCTGCCCGTGGAATAGCGTCTCCACGTAGACTCCGATAGCCCTGCATATACCAGTAGATGTAGTTTGAAGTGAATTTCCTCACTAGCAACCACAGCTGTGCCCACGAGCTCTACCGTCTTACTCGAAGCTACACCCGACAGCATCTACATGCTCGGAGCAATGGCCGCCGTCTTGGGCTACCCACCTTGGCCTGAGATTTCCCCGGCGTCGTGTCAGCGGCCTTGCACCAGCATGAGCATCTCTGCCTTGGCAAATGGGTCTGTGCGATGTCATCTCCGTGTCTTTAATCAGAACTGCGATTTCACCACCCTGCAGTACCGCAGTCCCAGAGCTCGTGGATACGACGCCGGACACAACTCTAGCCCTAGGCACTGGGATCCTTGTCGTCCTCAAGCAGCGCGACCTTCGCCTTCCTGTACGAAGTATCGCGACGCGTGCGTTGAACCATGGGCTGCGATTCTGTTGTGCTTAAATGCATTTACAACCTTGACTTGATTTTGCTATGGAGATTTGCATCCCTGCATTTGCAACCCTAACTTATTTTACTATGCAGGGGCTGACTTGCTATTTGTCTGCTACGGTTGCAAAAGTCGGCCGTTCATGCTACGGTTCCTGCAACGAAAGTTGTAAACAGCACCCCAGTTTTATGCGTGGTATCAGCCTCAAA